GTAAATTATCAAGGGTGGAGACAATTTCTACCATCTTAAACACAAACTTTTTCCTTTGATAGTGGAATAGTGCAGAAATGGCCTGAGAATGAGCTGTGAAGTAAACTATACCACCCCTCCCCTGGGGTTGAACTTAACTGGATTCAGTGTTTATTAAGTCAGGAAGAGAAATAAAACCCAAATTTAAGTTGAAATATAAAAAAAATGTTTTAATAATTTAATATGGGTTGTCTTTACAATAAATATTGGTAACAATACTGTATCTGGTTTCCATCTTTATGGTGTTGGATTTTCATTGAAAAAAAATGTTCTACCATCATGTGGCATTCTTATATCTAAATGTCCAATTAAAATGATCAATTAAGTTTCAGAGTCAAACAGTTAACTTAACAATTACATGATAATTTTTATGACTTTGTGATTAATAAATGTTGATTCACTTTGTCTGGTTTAGTTTTTTTAAAGGTCCATCTTGTCCCTTTGATGCAGTGTTCATAACTTGTTGAGGGCCAAGAAATTACTATTGAATAATCTCTAAGCTGAAGTTGAAGGAATTACTAATCTATTTTGGCTCCACCTGAGGAGAATAATACTAATAAAAATTCAGTTCAGGAACCCAATAACCATATTTTCTTTTGTTTTCATTGTCATAAACCTAAACAATCATGGAATGGGCATTTTGAAAGTTAGCACTTCCATATTGCTATCACTTTGTGTATAGTTTTTATGGCAAGATAATCCTCCAGTAGTCAGCACAAACATATTTCTATAATCACCTGAGCAATTGTATTACATTAAACTGAGATTTTCTCTTGTTGCCTCTTTCAACAACAGGTGTTCTTTAACTTGAAACACTTGCTCTTGAGTATTTCTAGACAAACCTGCCATTATCATGGCAGCTTGCTGCTTTCAGCATGGCTTAGGCCTTAACAAGTCAAAGGCAACCAACCATTGACTACAAGTCCACAACTTGTGAATCATTTAATGTTATCTGCCTGACAAGCCTTTCACTCAGTTTCCAAAGCTTGGCAGCTGTTTCAGGATTCTTAGCTTCATCTGATGGCTTGCACACACTACAGTTAT